TGGTGGCGGTCCTTCTGGCCCCAGCGGTGGGGGCTCCTCTGGCCCAGGTGGCGGTCCCTCTGGCCCAGGAGGTGGGGGCCCCTCTGGTCCAGGAGGTGGCAGCGGTCCCTCTGGTCCAGGCGGTGGCCCTTCTGGCCCAGGAGGTGGTCCTTCTGGCCCAGGTGGCGGTCCTTCTGGCCCAGGAGGTGGGGGCCCGTCTGGCCCAGGTGGTGGTCCTTCTGGCCCCGGAGGAGGGGGCCCCTCTGGCCCAGGTGGTGGCCCCTCTGGCCCAGGAGGTGGTCCTTCTGGCCCAGGTGGCGGTCCTTCCGGCCCCAGCGGTGGGGGCCCCTCTGGCCCAGGTGGCGGTCCCTCTGGCCCAGGAGGTGCGGGTCCCTCTGGCCCAAGTGGTGGCGGCCCCTCTGGCCCAGGAGGTGGTCCTTCTGGCCCCAGCGGTGGTGGCCGTCCTCCTGGCCCAGGAGGTGGCGGGGGCCCCTCTGGCCCAGGGGGTGGTGGCCCCCCTGGTCCAAGTGGCAGTCCCTCCGGCCCAAGTGGAGGGGGCCCCTCTGGACCAGGTGGCGGTCCTTCTGGTCCAGGAGGTGGGGGCCCCTCTGGCCCTAGTGGTGGTCCTTCTGGCCCCAGCGGTGGGGGCTCCCCTGGCGCCGGTGGCGGTCCTCCTGGCCCAGGAGGTGGGGGCCCCTCTGGCCCAAGCGGTGGGGGTCCCTCTGGTCCAGGCGATGGCCCTTCTGGCCCAGGAGGTGGTCCTTCTGGCCCAGGTGGCGGTCCTTCTGGCCCAGGAGGTGGGGGCCCGTCTGGCCCAGGTGGCGGTCCTTCTGGCCCAGGCGGTGGTGGCCGTCCCCCTGGCCCAGGTGGTGGTCCTCCTGGCCCAGGAGGTGGTCCTTCTGGTCCAGGTGGTGGTCCTTCTGGACCAGGAGGTGGTCCTTCTGGCCCAGGTGGCGGTCCCTCTGGTCCAGGCGGTGGTGGGGGCCCCCCTGGCCCAGGTGGAGGTCCTTCTGGCCCAGGAGGTGGGGGCCCCTCTGGTCCAGGAGGTGGCGGCGGTCCCTCTGGTCCAGGCGGTGGCGGGGGCCCCTCTGGCCCAGGTGGCGGTCCTTCTGGTCCAAGCGGTGGGGGCCCCTCTGGTCCTGGAGGTGGCGGGGGCCCCCCTGGCCCAGGTGGTGGTGGGCGCCCCCCGGGCCCAGGCGGTGGCGGGGGCCCCTCTGGCCC